TAAGATACTCTTGTGTAGTTTATTGTAAACGCCACAGTAATTTAATGGAGGGTCGTTACAAGGATGTGGACCTCGCAGATGTAGGATATTCAGCTCCGAACCGCGTAAAAAATTCTTGTGTACAATTTATTGTCTTTATTTTATACTATGTGTGTGTGTGTGCATGTGACGGAGAAGATTCTTAGCACTTGGTTGGTCATTTAATTCAATTTTGTGAGTGCTAATACATTTCCTGCAAAAGTCGGTTAGTTTGAATTGTTTTCATATATTATTTGTGGGTGATTTTAGCTGCCTCCTACAAACTTTCAATTAGTATCTGAGCAGTTGGGCTTATCTTACTAGGTCTTTGATCTTAACCATGGGTGACACTGAAGAAGGGGCCAATGTTTAACGACCACCTTTGCTATGTGGGAATAATATAACTTCTGGAAAGGGCGATGAGAGCTTTCCCAAAATCTCAAGGAGGTGGAGTCTGGCGCAATAATAATAATAATAATAATAATAATAATAATAATAATAATAATAATAATAATAATAATAATTGTTGGGAAAATCACCCCAATTTTTTAGCGGAAGAAATTAATAATAATCTCGTCTTTGTGTTGTCAATATGGGCAAAATCATATGACCAATAAAGAATAGTAAACACAACAACAAGCAATCAATCAAACGACAAACGAACACCAAGATTTAACGTGGAAACCCCAAATCAGGGAAAAAACCACGAAGCATTCCACTAATCACCAAGAAAATCAGTGGGTACAACCAAGAATCTTCTCTAAATCAATTAGAGCTACACACAATCATCAAGCAACAACTTGGAACACCAGACAACAATAATCTTCACTCAAAAGTGAGAAAACCCCACAAAAATGAAGCAGAGAAGCAGAAGCTATTTTACCCACATCGAGAGGTCAAACCAACCATCTCACCGTTGGATATGAAGAAGAGGATGTCAGGAACAACGTACTAAAACTTCATTCCAATCGGAGTCTGTTTGGTTGTCGATCGGAGCACAAAACCAGGGATGCACCTCTATTTTTCTCTTCTTCCTCTTCTATAGGTTCTTTCTTTTTCTTCTCTGTTTGTGCGGCTATAATTTTTCTTTTTGTCCGTGAAGAAAACCAAAGGAAAAGACTACTACCTTTTTAACCTTTTCAATAAAGGTGGCAGCCCCACCACTCACCCATTTTTTTCTTTCTTTATAATAATAATGATAATAAATATTATTAATATTACAATATTATTCCACCTCTAAACTAAGTATATTTTTAACACTAAATGTATTAATTAGGAAATCCTTCCTCTATGTAGGAGGGTTACCCCAACAAATATCCCCCCTTACTCCTACATGGGGGGTAAAACTCAATGATGATATATATCAACCAAACCTTTCACAACCAACTGCACCAAGTCTGTTGGTTGTGAGCAATGCTCTCTTCTCTTCAACTTGAACAGTCAATTGCTCTTGGGTGCTCGCTTGCTTCCATGCAACTTTACTAGGGAATGACCATGTCCATCAAGCAATGATATAACTCCATCTTTCTTGGCTTGAAACCATTTTCTTGGGTGGCCCTGCTTCACTTCTTCCCAGTAGCAATCTCTCTCAAATATACCAATTTGAGGAGCACTAAGTGGCAGAACTCCATACTTGGAATGAGGTGGCTCAAGTACATCATCATCACGAGCAAGATCATCACCACAACATTGTTATCCATCTTCTCCCACATGATCTGCGTGTACTGTAAGAAAGGGAATATCACCTTCAAGGACGATACACTGACAACTCTCAATCATGTGATCAATCCTCTTGTGCGATAAATCCGTGGAGGGCACAGTGTTTTGATCTCCTCTACACATCTTTGCTTGCATCATGTAAAGCCTGTTCTCTTTCTTACCTCCTGTCACGATTAAAGAACTTTTAGTGAGCTTCCACTTTCCTTGACCAAGGCGGTTAACATAACCATCTCCATCAAGTCCTCCAGCTAAAATGAGGTTGAACTAAACTCTGGAACATGTCTGAAATCTCTGAGGATTAACCTATAACCAGTGTTAGTCTTCAAACAAATAGTGCCCATCCCAATAATCTTAAATGATTTGTCACCCTTTCCCATATTTACACAGCCAAAATCACTGCTAGTGTATGATGAGAATAACTCCCGATGGGATATGAGATGACATGAGGCACCTGAATCAATGATCTAAGTGCAATCCTGAAAAGTAACCTCAAAGTTAGTGTCATCACAAACAAAAGATAAATCATCTGCATCTTCAAGGGCAGCGGTGTCTTTCTCTTCTTTCTTCTCAGAAGTCTGACAACTTTCCTCTTTCTGCTCAGCTTTATCTCCGTTCATCTTCCTGCACTGAGATATCTTATGACCCGGTTTATCACAATAGAAGCATTTGACTTCGCTTCTCGATTTAGATCTCCCCCTGGATTCAAAGTCTCTATATTTGAGTTATGTCTTCCATGACTCTCTATCTGTGCAACCTGAGCCTGATCTGAATAGCTGGAGGAACTTAGATCTCTTCTCCTAGCTTCTTCGTTCAGTAGACTTGACTTCACAACATGCATTTTTCGCTTACCCTATGGAGCAAAATTGTTAAGTGATACAACCAAGGTCTCCCAGCTTTCTGGCAACAAGCTGAGGAGCAACAATGCCTGCAATTCATCATCTAAAACCAATTTCATAGAAGACAACTGGTTAATGAAGCCCTGAAAATCATTCAAATGGTCCACCACACTATGCTCATCCCTGTAATCAAGTTTTACAAGTCTTCTCATAATAGAGGCTTTATTCAGAGAATTTTTCTCTCTCATACATGCATTTGTGTTTCTCCCACAGTTCATAGGTATTAGTATCATTAGCAACATGCTTATATACACTATCATCAATGAATTGCCTAATCATTCCCACATTTTTCCGATTCAGCAATTTCCAAGTACCTTCTTGTTTACCGTTTGGAATCTATTTATTCAAAATCGGTTCATGCAAATCCTTAATATATAAAATATCTTCCATCCTGGGTTTCCAACTTTGATAACTGGAGGAGTTCAATTTAATGATTCCTCCAAAATAGCTTTATCCTCCATTTTAACAACACAAGAAAATCACCCAAAAAATAAACTCAAGCTCCGATACCAATTGTTGGAAAAATCACCTCAATTGTTTAGTAGAAGCAATTAATAACTTTCTTGTGTTTGTGTTGTCAAAATGAGACAAATCATATGACCGATCAAGAATGATAAACACGACAACAAACAATCAATCAAACGACAAACGAAAACTAAGGTTTAATGTGGAAACCCCAAATCGGTGGAAATACCACAAAGCTTTCCACTAATCACCAAGAAAGTCAGTGGGTACAACCAAGAATGTTATCTAAATCACTTAGAGGTACACACAATCATCAAGCAACAACTTGGAACACCAAACAACAATAATTTTCACTCAAAAGTAAGAAAACCATACAAAAATGCGGCATAGAAAAAGAGGCGATTTTACCAATATTGAGAGGTCAAAACAACATTCCCACTATTGGATATGAAGAAGAGGATGTTAGGAACAACATACTAAAATTTCATCCTGATCGGAGTTTGTTTTGTTGTCGATCGGAGCACAAAATCAGGGATGCACCTATATTTCTCACTTCTTCCTCTTCTCTCGGTTCTCTCTTTTTCTTCTCTAGTTGTGTGGCTATTCTTTTTCTTTCTGTTTGTGAAGAAAACCAAAGGAAAATACCACTGCGTTTTCAACCTTTTCAATAAAGGTGGCAGCCCCACCACTCACCCATTTTTTTTCTTTCTTTATAATAATAATAATAATAATAAATATTATTATTATTACAATATTATTCAACCTCTAAACTAATTACATTTTTAACACTAAATGTATTATTCAGGAACTTTTTCCTCTATGTAGGAGGGATACCCCAATGATAATAATAATCACATTAAAAATATATCGTCTTTAAAATTATTGGTTGGGAGTAGAAAGGGCTTGAACAAAATGAGAAAAGTTGGAAGGAACCGGAAGGAACTGGAAGAAACAAGAAGAAAATGGAAGGAACTTTAAGAAACTAGATGAAACTGGAAGTTTAGGATTTAAGCCATAAAGAACATGCTCTAAGTGAAATACTTATCAAAATTTTCTCTTAGGATTATGACAAGAAATGTGGTTTCAAAGAGATGTTAGTATAACGTCTAAGCGATGGATTATTCAGGTTATAATATCGATGGTCAACAGGAAAAAAATCTCGTCTAAAGTAAAGGAATAAGAAAAAAGAAACATACCAAAAAGCATCGTAGGTTGTATTCAATGTTAGAAAACGGGTTGACTATTAAACTAGTATAGGCCAATGAAACGTTATGGGTAAACTCAATAGAAAGAGGGTCCCTTCTTCAATGAGGATCACTATGAGATGTAATTATTACAATATTCTAATTGTAAAAAAGCTAACCCAACTAGTAATTATTACATGCTAGATGAGCAATTTGAAGAGATATAAAAAAGAATCATGAAATTTTTTGCTAGGAAATATCGAGTAAGAGTTCAAGAAGAATTTTTCCAATATACACCTCCCTGAATTGATTAATGGTTGGAAAAGAGACTATTTTAAAAGAATTTAGTGAGAGTTATTAAACAAAAAAACAAAGCTCAATTCAAAATGATATGGTTAATTAGAATATAAATGTGCAACTATATAAGTGAAAAAAACATAGCTAAGTAACTTAATCATTATTTGATTATTTCGTTGATTAACAAAATAACATCTTCTTATGAGAAGAGCAAGAGAATACAAAACAAGATAAAGGTAAAAATTACATATTTAAAAAACATCAAAAGTTTGATAAAATGAGTGGTGAGAAGAATTTTTATTTTATTAAATGGACCATGAAAAAGCATACGCAAACAAAAGTTATCGAAAATCTAAAATATTAATTATGACATTTTTAAGGGACAGGAGTATTAGTTTTCGATATACTAAGTTTAAAGCTCCAACCATGTTCCAATTTACTTCTATCGAGCATCCAACAATGTGATTGTAATATCGTTTATAGAACTTGGGTTCTGCGTGCTCCAAGAGTAGTGTTCATCAGTACTAGGCACACGTCTCTCCGTAAAAAATCCAGGCGGCTTGGCTTCTGGTAGAATACATTCATTTCTCAACATCCAAACTATAGATGACATATTTGGTCTATCGTCTGGAGATTGTTGGACACATAACAAAGCCACGTGGATTGATTGAGTCACTTCGGCTGGATCACAAGAGTCAATGAGTTTCGTATCAACTAGTTCCAACGATCTATTATCATTATAAAGTGTCCATGCCTACAATATTTGATGCAGTTATTCATTAGATGAGGGTATTGAAAAGATTTAGGAGAGATGGTGATTATACTTACATGTCCAAGGAGGTTTAGGTGGTGGTCTGGATGAACAAAATGCCTGTTCTTTTTGCCGCTTATGATCTCTAATACTAAGACACCAAAACTAAATACATCTGATTTTATTGAGAATATCCCATCAATTGCATATTCCGGAGACATATATCCGCTGCACCCAAAATGTTGGTGAGAGGATTATTAGAGAGTGTTGATAACACAACATGCATATAAATGAAATTGGATAACGAGTATAAATTTTGAATGGATATGTATGATTGGTCTTACTATGTTCCCACCACACGTACAGTGTTGGCTCCTGTCTCATTCCCTCCAAAACATCTAGCCATCCCAAAATCTGATATCTTTGGGTTCATTTCAATATCAAGCAAAATGTTGCTAGTTTTAAGATCTCTATGGATGATTCTCAGCCTCGAGTCTTGATGAAGGTACATAAGTCCTCGTGCAATTCCATTGATAATGTTAGAGCGTTTAGGCCAATCAAGCAATCCACTCTGTTCTTCATCTGACAAAATGTTTGAAGCATAGCTTTGGGTTATCTTTATGAAACTGAAGTTAGGCATGTATTCATACACCAACATTGTTTTAAGGCTCTTGATGGAAAATGCTTATCAAAACTGAAGAACATCATTTTGATATAAAATGCTTACCAAAAATGAACATATCAAGGCTCTTATTAGGCATGTATTCATACACCAACATTGTTTCTTCTCCTTGAATGTAGCATCCTAAAAGTTTCACAAGATTTCTATGTTGCAATTTGGCAATGCAGATTACTTCGTTCTTGAACTCCCTAAGCCCTTGTTTTGATGCCTCGGAGAGGCGTTTCACTGCTATTTCCTGTCCCCCTTCAAGCACCCCCTAAATCATACAACAAGTCAATATCTCTTTAGTGGCAGATAAAGAATAAAATATAACGAGAGGCATACCAAAATGAAGTGTAACACCCCGGCCCCCACCCTGGCCGTAAGTGTCCGCTCATAGGATTGTAGACTGGCCCCACAAACCAACACACGTCTTTCCCGCGCACTTTGTCCTCACTCGTGCGCGCCCAAGGAATTTCGCAGGGGGTCACCCATCCTAAAATTGCTCCAGGTCTAGCACGCTTAACTTTGGAGTTTCTAGGTGATGAGCTCTCGAAAAGAAGATGCACCTTGTTGGTATGAGTAGTACTATCAATCCTTTTGAGCTCTTCCCATTCCCATCTTGATACGGGGTATTACATGAAGAGTGATACTTTTGAAAAAAATAATTAGTTGTCCTTTAATCAACTGCTAGGCATTAACTTTAATTTAAAACACTAACAGATTATATTACTTATACCAATATAATTGAAATTTTTAATTCTCCATGCATTTCAAGTAGGGGAATTTACCTAAATAGTATTTAAACATAGTGACTTTCCCAAAGTAGTACCATATATTTTTATTTCCCAAATGTAGTACAAGTGGTCATTATCCACTAGTCATTGTTCAAGTAAATGTCCACCGCCACTGGACATTGTTCAAACTAAATGTCCACCATCACCAGACATTGTTCCCGTCACTAGACATTATTCAAGTACCATTTAGATAATATAAACTTTAAGTACTACATTGTGAAATGACCTATGTTTTAGTACTATTTAATTCAAATTTCACTTTCTAGTAATAAGTTAAACTACTCCCTAATAAGGATAGTGTATAGTAAACATTTTTTTTGGACAAAAAAATACATTGTATAAGAATAAACAAGTTATTTTGGGACATAAACATTTTTTTCCTCTAGAATTACGCCCTTTTTGTCTTCTTGGTAATCAAATGCAATATTAATAAAAATACAAATATTATTTTGCATTTTTGCAGCAAAAGCAGATGTTATATGTGTACGGTTTTGATATTTAGTACATTGAAATTTCATCATGTTATTTTGGGAATTTGTGGTAGTAATATGAATTAACTTTGATGGTAGTTTACATGGATGATGATTTGAAAAAGTTTTACGTTGGTTTTCGAAACCTAATACATCCCTCCTCTTTTATCCAGATTTTGATGGTAAAAGTATTAAAAAGTATTGAAGATTAGCAACAAAATGAGACTTTGTACTTAATATGGTAGAAGATGAAAGCATATAATTAAACAACAAAATGTAAAAAGAATTAAAGAAATGTGGATTAGATTACATTTTTTAGATGAGAGCATTTTTTAGTTTTAAACCGGGCACATTCCAGTTTTCATCAAGGACACCTCCTTCATTTAATTGAAAAATATTAATATTCTAAAACGGATCTGATTTCTACACAAAAGCGCTTATTGGGCCATGTATTTTTTCTAACAATGAAGAGTTCAATCAAATTAATATCTTAGTCTAAAGATGGATTTTAAAAGAATGAAACTACACATCACTCTCCTCCATTATCACTCACTCGATCATTCTTCCTCTGTTCCTAAAAGTTATTCTTATTTTGACTTTTATGTGATTTAAAGAAGTGATATTTTTGTCTTGACTTTACAAAATTAACCTTGATGTGATGAATGAAAGTAAGTTGTGATGGTTAGATTATTAGTAAAAATTCATGATGTGATATGTAGCGTAAGAATTAGTGAGTGTAAATGTAGATTTTTAATATAAAAGATAAAGAGATTTTGGGACAACAAAGAAAAAGAAAAAGAAAAAGAAAGACTTTTAGGAATGGAGGAAATATGACATAAAGAGTGAAACAAATGCAACACTCAAGATAGGGTCGTTAAGATGTAGGTTTATTCATGCGTGAGTTAGATTTTTATGGCACCTAAAAGTTTCCACTCTCCACTCCTCATCACATCTAGCTTAGACAATGTGTTAGAGGGCGTTACCTACGCAATGGATTGGCCGATACCGCCCCCCCCCCACCGTGACCATGGCGACACCTAGGGCGTGACGGTGGCGTTTCAGACCGGGACTCACCGCGACCACGGGCGCACATGTTGCCATTTCCAACGCCTTTCTAGCTGTTTAAATTATTTTTTGGAATCTAACCGTTAGAAAAAAAATTGTATAAATAGAGTGGAGAGGATTGAGAACCTCACCCCAAAAAATCCACCACTATACGTATTGCGTAGAAAAGAAATGAATTTCGATGAACAAAACAACCACTTCTCGTATTCTGATGGAGATGATTTAGCTATTTTGTTTCTGGGTTCTATCAAAGCTACGGTAAGCACTATCGTAGCCAATTCTAATCCAAATTCCTCCCAAGAGTTTATGCATCGCAGATAGATCAAATTGGATCGTGATGCAGCCAACCAACGCCTAATTAAAGATTATTTTTCAGATACTCTATTTTATGACGATGATCAACTTAAACGTCATTTTCTAGATGAGTCGCGACTTATTCAATTCTATTGTCAATGACATGGAGGAGCAATTTTCCTTTTTTTCAACAAACGTTAGACGATACGGGAGCTAAAGGATTCACCTTGCTCCTAAAGTGCACAAGAGCTATCTGACAACTTGCATATGGCACCGTTAGCGATTCATGGGCCGAGTACTTGAAGATGTCAAACAAAATTTCTAGTGATAGTCTCAACATATGTAAATAATTTATAATTTAATATATCATACATATAAATATATACTTTCATATATTATATGCATGACTTTAAATTACTTTTTTAGGCGTCATCAATCTATACGATTGTAGATATTTGTGAAAGCTGTCATGGAGCGACATTCAGCAGATAAATACCGTGCTCAAGCATGTGCATGGTTTTCCTGGGATGTTGGGAAGCATTGATTCTACACACTGGGTATGGGAAAATTGTCCCGCGACATGGAGAGGGTCACATTAATGCAGTGATCACCCAAGTCCAACTTTAATGCTAAGAGTAGTCTCTTCATATGATCTTTAGATATGGCATGCGTTCTTTGGCATTGCAGGATCATGTAATAATATCAATCTCCTCGATCAATCTCCAATGTTTGATGATGTTTATAACGGAATTGCACCTCCATCTTCTTTTATTAGTAATGATACTTATTACAAATATGGATAATATCTTGCGGATTACATTTATCCCGAGTACGAGACGCTTGTGAAATCATTTACATGCCCCCACGCGAAGGATGAGAAAAAAAACATATTTCAAAAAGGTAAAATAGGCTCCTAGAAAGGATATTGAAAGAGCATTTGGTGTCCTTAAACAAAAATGGCATACCGTGCACAACCCATGCCGTATGTGGGAAAAGAGCAAAATTAGAGATGTTATATACGCCGGTACTGTTGGAATGCATGAGTTCAACCTTTTCTGTGTTGTTAAGTGTAGACTCACAGGTTTTGATAATTGACAAACACAATTTATTCAAGTCAAGATCAAAGTGCTACAACGACAAACACAAAGACTTGAAGTGTCATTCCTTGAAGTATTCAAGAAGGTGCACAGGATTTTATTGAAGTCCGAGACGCGTGTGGAGCGCCTAACAGAGGACTCGGAGGAGTAGAAGATTTCCGAAGACTTTTTATTTATTTGAGTCTTAGGAACTATTGTAAGCATGACAAAAATATCTTCTCTCCAAAACTATTTTTATGAGAGTTAAAATAAAAATTATATTTATTTTTGGAGTCAGTTGAAAAATCTTTTTAACTGTTAAAAATAGTTTTATTGAGTAAGTTACAAAAAAGTGTGTCAAATATTTATTTTGATATTATAAAATATTTTTGGTAAGCAAAAATATTTTATTCAAATATTTTTCGTGTACATCATTTGACACACAAAATAATTTTTGGACTTACTTTTTACTCCCTTATTCAAATACATTGAATAGGAGAGGTTTTGTTTGAGGAGCGTCTCTCATTCCTCTTGTCTGAAACAATCGCGTTAAGACATTTTTTTACTTCTTATCTCGCAACTGGCTTGAGGCCCTTGTGTTTGTGCATCATTTCAAATCCAATCGATTAATATTCTCACATTAATCGATTTACCCAGTTTTGTTTTAATTAATCGATTAAATTCTCTTGATTAATCGATTAATTGAGTTTTACTTCATGTTGAGCTTCTTTGATATAATGGATTTTTTTCTTCCCGTTAATCGATTAGTTTACTCAGACCATTCTAATCGATTAATAGCTTTGATTTAATCGATTATCTTTTTGTGCAGACTGCATTAATCGATTATTGGCACTGCATTAATCGATTATTATGCTGCATCTTTTCAGCACAGCTTCTTTTCTTGGACCAACGGATATATTCCTTCAACCCCTTTATAAACTTCACTCCTTGGTCATTTTTAGAATGAACAAGCACTCCTAAACTCCCCCAATCTTGAGGTTATAATCCTCCATTTCATTTCTTCCTCAAATTGATATATTTTGAGAGAAAACTAAGTGTTTTCAAGAGAGTGTTCTTGTCATCCATAGAGCTTAATCTTTTCTCATTTCTACTCTTGTGAGAGTTTATGTTGAGAGATTGAAGAAGATTGTTCTTCTTGTTTTTCAAGACTTATGTGACTTAAGTCTTGGTTGTGAAGTCTTGTAGAGGGAATATCTACGAGCGGTTGTGTCGAGGCTTGTGGGATTCAAGTTCTCGAGTTGTAAACGGTTTGTTAAGCCCCCGTAAGCTTAACGGAAGTAGTGGTAGCTTCGAGAGAGTCTCTCGGGGAACTGGACTAGCCACAAGGTGGTGAACCAGTATACATCGGTGTGTTCTTTGCCTTCTCTCTTTTATTTCCGCTGCACTTACGCTTATATTATTAATCCTGCGAAAAACGGTAAACATTCTCAACAACTCTATTCACCCCCC